GAAACAAAATGGCTATTTTTTGTAGTGATTTTATACCATATTTATGTTATAATTTCAAATAAATAATTATAATTATATATATATATATATATATATATATATATATATATATATATATATGAATAAAGACAGAAGGTAAACTTTTCTTCTCTTGACAAATTTTGTCCCCTGATGAACTCTATCAAAGTAAATGTAAGGATTTTACCACATGTATTTACAGACATATTCTGATATCAACTATAAATATCCTTTCAGTTTCATTTTTCTATGAAACTTTGTTCTTAATCACATGTTCAGCATCATTCTGTAGACCCACTTGCTACATCTTCTACACTTCTAACATCTGTAAGGAGATTGTCTAGCATTCACTGCCATATAGGAGGACTAATATTACATAACAGTTAAGTTACTCTTTTATTGTTTCTAACAAAATTTTCTTAATACTTTCCTTCGCTTTTGGAAGGCATCTTTCACTATCTCAATGTGCCTTTGGATTTTGGTGTTGAACTATGATATGTTATTTCTTGGTTTCTTTAAAAATAATTCTTATTTTTTAGCAGTTACAGGTCTTGAGAAACCTATTTTCCTGAAAAATTATTGTTGACATTCCACACTACTTCAAGCAAAAGTTTAGGAAGGAAGCCTCCAACAATATAGGAAGGAGCAATAACAGTTACTGGTCTTGAGAAACCTATTTTCCTGAAAAATTATTCTAATTGAAAGATTTTTTTATAAATTTTAATCGACAAATGTACTAGCTATTTGGTCAATGAATGCTGAATGTTTCCTTATACGGAAACAGTTAATATTACCATTACTATTTCTTTCATTTCATTCACTCAGATTAGATTTTGTTTTTTTTTGCTGGATGATTTGGGTTTTAATAAGTTAAGAAATTCAGGTATCAAATATTCTATGTTAGTTATTTTATCACACACACACACACACACACACACACACGCACACACACACACACATTTGATTTCCAGATTATGGAGTTTCTGGTTCCCTTTCAAGTTAAGGTAGTGATGTGGCACAAGGCCGAAATTAAGGAGCCCCCATTGAGGATCGAACTCACTACTCAGTCATAATTTCTTCTAGTGAGACAAGCTTGCTAACCATTACACCACCTTGAGGTGCCCACTTTCAAGTTAAGCTATGTGGGAAAATGAAAGAAAATCAATAAATAAAATAATAAAAGAAAAAATGAAAAATAAGTACATTTTCCCAAGTTGCTATTAATAAAGAAACTGGAATTTTTATTACTCCAACTGGCTTTGCCAGATGTCCATTAGGTGGCACTGTTTAACTTCTATAAAAAGACAACCATTTCATCCTTCTATCTCTTTTTATCCCACTTGCTTCAAGATATAGCAGAATGTGGATGAAGGCATCCCTGCTGGGAATGTCTCTTTTCCCCATTATACTGACAACTGATCTCTTTTTCTGCTTTCCAACATATAATGTTCAGATGTGTTTTGTAGCTTCACCCATGAAGAAAAGTACTTTGGGTGTTCCAACAAAGTGCAAAGCTGACTTGAGCTTAACCATTTCAATCATTCTTATCCTTACTTACCCTAATATACTTCTATACTAGAAAAAGAAAACGGACATAGCCAAGAGATATTGCAAACTTTGTTTCCTTAGAGTTTCTACCAAACAAAATGAATAAACAATCTGTAGTAGAAAACCAAGTTTTTGTTGCTTCTACATTAATTGTTTATACGTGAACATGCAAACACTTACGATACACCCAACGCACTCTCTTAAATTCCATAGGTATATCACATTAATTTTGTTTTTTTTAATATTCTTATTTTTTAATTGTGTTATTTCTTTGGGCATAGTCCATGTGGTTTGTTGTTTTCTTTTCCTTTGTTTTTTGATTGATTTGGGTTTTAATAAGTTAAGTAATTAAGTTTTCAGATACTTAGTATTAATCATTTTATCACACACACATATGCAAAATACAGATCCTTAATGTCCAGCAAAACACATCAGCCAGTAAATTACCAGTATTTAACACATTTAGAGGCAAACAGATTTTTATATAACAAATTACACAATATTAAAAATAGAGCAACATTATGTTTATCTTAGCCTGATGAGCAGTGTATCTCTGAAATTTGAAGCTAGATGATAAGTTTTTAAAATCTTATTTATTAACTATATAATCGACTGTTAACTATATATATATATATATATGTTAATGATAATAAGTATACATTTTTACCCTCAAGTTTTACTGGTGAGGATAAAAATGTATACTTATTATTAATATGAATTTTATCTCTGTTATCCTTATCTCAGCCTGACGAGCAGTGTATCGCTGAAATTTGGATCCAGATGAAAAATTTTTATTAAATCTTATTTATCTATTAACTATATATATTAACTATATAAATATAACTAACTGCTTAACTGTTAACTATACACATACAAAAACAAACACACTCACACATATATATATTTATTAATAATATTTTAATAATAAATATACATTTTTATCCTTAAGACTTTCATGTGAGGATAAAAATGCATATCTATTATTAATATAAATTTTAGCTCTAGACATAGATCATTATTTTATTTGCACCAAGAATCAATATGCAATATATATATATATATATATATATATATATATATATATATATATATATATATATATATATATATATAAAGTATATATATATATATATATATATAAAAGTATATATACTTATATCTATATATATATATAAAAAAGTATATATACTTATATCTATATATATATATATATAAAAGTATATATATATATATATATATATATATATAAATATATATATATATATATATATATATATATATATATAAAAGTATATATATATTATATATATATATATATATATATATATATATATATATATATATATATATGATAAAATGACTGATATGAAATATCTTTTTCAGGTGTTCTTAGAATTCACTTCCAGAATCAAATCTTGACAACAGAAGAAAGATTTTAAACATCCAACTGTTTTTCACCATCTTATATATTTATTCTTATATATATATATATATATATATATATATATATATATATATATATATATATATGTGTGTGTGTGTGTGTGTGTGTGTGTGTGTGTGTGTGTGTGTTTGTGATAAAATGACTAATATGAAATATCTGAATAAATATATAAGATGGAATTTGTGAAAACTAGTTGGATGTTTAAAATCTTTTTTTCTGTCATCAAGATTTCACTCTGTAAGTGAATTCTAAGAACACCTGAAAAAATCTAAGAAAAAACATTATTACCATGGTAACCTTGCTACTGAGAAATGCTGTGGTTAATCTGAAAATTTTAACAGTTAATGAAATTTAAAAATAAATATCTGCATACAAATGCAAAAATCATTATTATAAACTGATGATAACAATGAAAATAGAATAAGTAATAATATTAAATTCTCTTATTATTAAAACATTGTTTTACTAATGCTAATATAGAGTCATATAAAAGTTTTATAAAATCAACTGAGATGTGTCTCTTTCTCTGCACCATCAGTCTATATACAGATGTTACTGTTTGGGGTGCTTAGAAAGAGAGACAGAATATCTTGGCCTTCTCTACTCTCCAAAATTCATATAGATATCAATATATTCATAATATATCACCACCTTAACAAGATGGAAGGAATGACTAGAAACAGAAAGAGATGAACTCCAAAAATAAGATGATCCTGAAAACATTTTGTACACAAACATGAGTACATATACATAAGATATACTAAGGATACAGTACATATATATCCCTCACAGTAAAATTTAAGTATATAAAGGAAAATATGGGAAGGAGATGAAGGTATTGTTAAAGCAAAGACCTTTGGTATTTTTTGGTTCTTTTTTAGAACATATCAGATATATACAACAGATAACTACTGTCTCCAACTGACTGTTACATGACCCTTAAAGGCCCCTTGAGTTATAAGTATGGTTTTTGCCTTCTGTATCTCTATACTGTGATAGTCACAGAAAGAATTTTTATGTTTTTTTTAGAAAATAAATCCTTTAACAATTTTGCTATCTTAATGACATTCATATACGTAAAACTTTTAATGACATTAATAAACCTAAAACAAACTTTAATATTTAAAGAAAAACCTCAGTTAAACACTTTACATATGAAATTAACTCTTTGAATCCGAAGCAAGTATATAAAAGTCATGGACAGCAACTCATTTCAAAGGTTATTAATAGAATCTTTTTCATTACTAAGAGTGATAATTTTGTAAGAGTTATAATTTTAGTACTTCACTATATGAAAACCTACATGCATAAATTATTGTCTTCTTAATTATAATAGCAAATGTCCTCACAATAATAAAATCGCTGTTATAAAAAACATGATCAACTGAGTTAACCTAATCTATTTTTCCCACAAACTACAAAATAACAGAAAATAAATGTTTGATAATAGTTTCTTAAACCATGACATTGATGAGCAAATAAAATTAACTTTAAAGACTTTTATATCTTAGCTGTAAATGAGATGAAAAAGTCATTGAAAATATAATTCATAGGTACAGATCACTTTGTAATAAATACATACTAATTCACCATTTATTATAAAGATTTAAAACAGTTAACATAATGTTCTAGAAGAGCTAACACACACATATTGAAAGTAAGATATGCCAGAAGAAATAACAAATAATGTACTTAATAAGCATAAATAGAATAACAAGAGCAAAGTGTGATGATAAAAGATTAGATGTTACATGTTTGTGGTCATGGTAAATTTAGCCATTTCCTTATAGGGAAACATTTAGAATTCCTTGACCGAGGAGCCAGTACTGCTTTTGGTTGACATTTATAAAATCTTTCTCTTAAAACAGTTTTCAGTAAAATTGGTTTCTCAAGTTCAATAATAGTTATTACACTTTCTCGTATTGATGGGGGCTCCCTTCCTTGCCGTTTGTTTGAAGTAATGTGGAACATCAAAATATATAGATAAAACATACTGAGTTAACAAAAAGATAGATATGAGCAAACTGAAACAGATAGATAGATAGATAGATAGATAGATAGATAGATAGATAGATATGAACTGAATGAGATAACTAGATATGAACAGAATGAGATAGATAAATAGATAGATATGAACTAAATGAGATAGATAGATAGATAGATAGATAGATAGATAGATAGATAGATAGATAGATAGATAGACTAACTGCAATGGTAATGGTAATATTGGCCATTACCTTATATGGAAATATTCAGTATTCATTAACCAAGCAGCCAGTACTAATTTTGGTTGAAATTTACAAAATAGTTCTCTTAAAACATTTTTTTTCAGAAAAAAATAACAATTTTTTCAGGAAAAAAAAAATTTTCAGAAAAAAAAAATTTTTTCAGGCAAAAACGATTTTTCAGGAAAAAAAATTTTCAGACAAAAACAATTTTTTCAGAAAAAACAATTTTTTCAGGAAAAAACAATTTTTTCAGGAAAATGGGCTTCTCAAGTTCAGTAGCCATTATCTTTCTTTCCAGTATTGATGGGGTTTCCACCCTAAACTTTTATTTGAAGTTGTGTGGAAGGTCCACATCTTTATTATGCCATTATTCTCTATTCAAGTTACATGTGCAATTCATTTTCATTGGTACTGCTGTTGAAAGTCCTTAAGTCATATGGTTTCTGTTATTTGGTTCAGTTCTTCATTTGTGATTCTGTAACACCAGTCAATGACGTTAAAAAAAAGAAGGACAGTCCTCACTGAGATCTACATTCTTCACACACTCTAAGCCATTTTAACCATCAATCTGAAAAAGTGGTTGTATACAGCTGACACAAAAAACAGGAAAACATGGAGAGCCATTGTTTCCCATATGCTAAAAGGACTTGGCATATAAAAGAAGAAATATTTACTGTTTCTTTTTTTAAAGTTTATTATAATATTTATCTTTTAATTTCAAATAATGAAAAAAGGGGACTTGAAGAATTTAACACTCACAAGACATACTGATGGCAGAAGGAAACAAAAAGTAGCTTACTTAATAAGCATGTGAATGGATGGTAGAACAAAGACAGATGGAAGTTAAAGGCTAAAAGATTACTTAGAATACCAAAAAAGAGGATGTTGTGATGACTGTCAATGTCCTTAAGGAACTTGACACATAAAAGAAGAAGCTATCAGATCATAACAAAAGTTTGTGCATGATTTTCATTGTTAATATAAAATGACAAGCAAATTGACAATGGCGTTTGTTTTAGTGCCAATTTCTGTTATGTTCTAGATTGAAATTTGCATTGTTCACTTGCAAGTCAGATTTTGTTGGATGTTGACATTTTGTCCAAAAATAAATGCCTTAAAGATGGAGGATGAAAAATTGGACTTTTGCCATATTATTCTCTGTGAATTTTGGAAAAGAGTAAGCATCAGAACTGTGACAAAAAACATTTGCAAGGTTTACTCAGATTGTGATGGTTTTGCAGATTTTCATCAGGGTGATTTTAACCTAAGCGATCAACCAAGTTCCATTATTGATGAAGACTCTCTGCTTGTGATCATGGAGAATAAACTGAAGATTTCAATGGAAGAGATTGCTAAAAGTCTGAAAATCCATATCTCAACTGAGTTTCGCCATTTGGAAAGATTTGGATTCAAGAAAAATTTCAGATTTTGGCAAATCGAAAAGGTGACATTTTTCCACCATGACAACACAAGACTGCATGTTGCAAACATACCTTGCAGAAGCATAAAGAGTTGAAATGGGAAACCCTGCAGTAACCACCATATTCTACTGACTTGGGTTAGACCAGTTTTGTGTGAGTGTGTATGCATGTGATTGACTGATTTTTTTATGGCTTATAAACCTTTTGCAGATTATTTAAATCCAGAAAATAGTTTTAGATTGTAAGAAATATAATAATAGTAAGAAAGATAATAATGATTGACTGGTACAAGTTTTATTAATTAACCCATAGGTGGTGGGGGAAGAGATGGATTCACACAAGTATTTTTCTTTCTTCTAGATCAGTTGCCTCTCAAGGTTATAGAACACAATCTGTCCTGCTGTTTACCCATAGATGATATAGGAAGAGATAAATTCATACCTTTCCCAAAGGTATAAGCACATAAGTGAATGTAATCAAATTGACTCTAATTCAAACTTGACTCTCCAATTTCCCAATCCAAGCTGCAATCCATACTCCATTGTGCCTCCATATATATATATATATATATATATATATATATATATATATATATGAAGAAATATAGTCTTAAGATGTGCTATATTTATGGGATAAAGTGCTCAATATCAGAGCGTGTGTAAATATAAAAGTGAACATAGAAATTAACACTTAGAGGCAACAGTCTTTTTCATGCTAGATGCATCTAGTATGAAACAGGTTTTAAGTCTGGAATTTTCGGATATGTCTATGTCCTTCATCAATGGTGCAAGAAATAAACAGAGAGATGAGAATTACTCACCAACTGAAGTTTTTGTGGACAGTGTAAATTCTGGTGAAGATCATATGATTAGCAAAAAACCAAACTCTGCCTGATTCCTCACTGTGCAAAACTTTTTATAAAAATAAACTTAAATTTAAACTTTTGATTGGAGTAAAAGCACTAGGCAGGTCTATTATTATTAGTGGGAGGAGAGGCGGGTGAGATTGTTTTATCAACTAACCTGTTTTATTAACTAACATATCTATTTTACATACTATAAGAAGCATATGTGGAGCCTTTCTTCTAATTTTATATATATATATATATATATATATATATATATATATATTCCTGTTATCCTCTACCTTTACAAGAGAGACACATCAGGCCAAAAATGGAGTAATGTTGTCATATTTGGGTGGGAGTTGCCCAGACATCAATCTCCAGCTTTACAGAGTCCAAAAGCATCCCCAAGGCCTTGTGGGTGACAAATTATTCTCAACCCTCCTACTCCTTTCCCACAGGTGGGATGTGACAAGCCTCTTGCTGCTCTACCACTACTTCCACGGAAAGTGATTGAGCGAACTACATTCCCTCGTCCTGCCAATTCAACTCTTCACCGCAAGGACACGTCATGCTACTTACATAGTATCAAACCACCCACATCCACCCCCTACCTTATTCCATTGGTGAGAAGTAAGAGATTCTTCTGCCAACCACTGCTCTGTGGAACCAATTCCCAAGAGGATGTTAACCCCCACCCCCGATCACTACAATTTTAATTCGTTCAAGGTTAGGGTCAACTGTTTTTTTTCACTCTTGTATACACAAATTGCCTCCTAATGTAATCCTCTATCTTGAGTGGTTCCAGAGCATTGTAATATATATATATATATATATATATATATATATATATATATATATATATTCAACCTAAAATATTTATAAATTTGACAAATAAAAAAATATGTTTATCAACATGCCCTATTTCCACTGTATGAGGGGGTATCTGTGTGAATTTGGGCGGGGATTTAAAACTGTTGTGTTTACAAGACAAGGCAGTTATCGGAAATTTATCAATGTCATGCAAATTTATCAATGTCATGCAAATCTGATTTTGGAAAGCAACTTGAAATACTTGTTATTAATATTTTGAGAATGGGTAAATCATTACGATCCCTCTTTCTCGTTATCAGTCCCTATCTAATTTGTTTTACTCTGCTAAAAGATAATTCACAGATAGAATGCTATTTACAAACAAAAAGCTTAAAACACAAGGCTAATTATAAACGATAAATTCAAATAAAACTATGACTTCTCAATAATCTCTCACCCTTACCAACTTTAGAATTAGTTCCCCTCACTTGGAGTGAATCATAAATTAGTACGGGATGCTTGATCGAGTCAGGAAAGGTTACATTATGACCTTTCTGGTGTTTTGAAGAGGACTGTGACAAATTTGTTTAATTTGCATATTTTTCATGTTTTAAATGAAGAGGATTCTATTAAAAGGTTAGGTTATTTAATGTCAGATTTTATATGGGACACAGAGTGAGGATCAAACTCACTACTCAGTAGTAATGTTCAAACATACTAGTTACATTAACCATTATCTCACACCAATACACACCTTCATTTCATGGTAAAGAAATTATTCAGTGAAGAAATATAATAAAACTTGAAAAATAAGAGATAGTAATTTGGTAAATTCTTAATTTAACTTAGTCTGGCACAAGGCCTCAAGTTTAGCATACCAAGTGAGGAATAATGAACTGGAGGTCTAGTTTGGTAACTGTTACTCTTCCATGAGAAACCCTATTGATATTTACTGAGCTTAGTCTGGCACAAGGCCTCTACTACAATGTGCATTACAAAAGTGACAAGAAGTATTCGTTGGCATTACAAAAGTGGCAATGACTGTCCTTTGATATCACAAAAATTTCAATTCACCAAGATCAAAATCTAAGATTTTTAACAAAAGTTATTAGCTTTTCATTTAAATAAGCCAATTCCACTTGTAAAAATCTGTAACTTCATTCAGTAGAAATATAATTTTTTATTTAAGTTCATGTTTAAATCTTGAGGTAATGTTCTTGGAATTCAAAGTGTTGAGAAGAAAATCTTGGCCAGCTTTTTAAGAAATGTTTGCCTTAAATTCCTAAAAGAATAAAAAGAATGGTATATCTGTTTTCTCTTGTAATGAATATCAGAAAAATTTAATATAGCTGTCAGAAATTTGTGTCTTTTTATACACTATATTTACCTTTTCTTAAGATGATATATACATAATTTTTAAAAAAGGGTCCATTGCTTCCAGAACATCCATGTAATGGAGAGGAAACTGAAATATGTACAAGTCAAGTGTCAGAATAAGTTTTAACAAAATTTAAATGGTTTTGATTTTAACAATCTATTGCTATTAAACATGCATACTTTATGGAAGTGAAAAGAAAAATGAAAAAAGAAAACATAGTTACTATAGACAGTAATTCAAGAAAGGAAAAGTAAGAAAAATTCCTTTCTCTTCAGATCTTGGTTTTGGAAATAGAATGCCTGTGCACTATGACTAAAAGTGGGAGAAATACTCTAAATGAGGGTAATATATACACATATATTAATAATATTTCAATATATGTATATATCAGAAACAGATCAAGTTAAGACCTAACAGTCATTCTGTCTGTACACAGAAGACTGTAAAAAGTTTAGTGAATAATTTTACTTGTAAAAATCATAATTTCATTCAGTCTTGTAAAGAAAAGCTGACAAACCTTTAAACTTGTAACAAAGCTCCATTCCAAGTGATTCAAGTACTGCACATACCTGATGTCTGACCATCACTTTTTATAGTATAGTAGTTAGAAGTATTGGGTGAGGTGACAACTATGGTACCTTCACTAAAGCTCTTAACTTGGAAATTGTATGATTTGAAAATAATATGCTTTCACTCACCAGACTTGGATCAACCTGTGGTATAGTTTCTGGCACTTTCTAATGCTATTGCATTCTTGGATCATCATGCTAATATTATCAAGAAATTTGCTGCCAGTATAAGTTCTGGATTATTCTAATACCCTTCCCAAAGTTACCTAGCAGTTCTAATAGTACTTTTTGTTGTACTTTATCAAACTTTATCAAATACTTTTGCATAATCTATAAAACATAGGCTTACAATTTTTGTTGTCACTGCTGTTGAAAGTCTTCATGGGATGTGGTTTCTGTTATTTGGTAAAATTCTTTGTGATTTTGTAGAGCTATGAGATCCTACAATAGACCATTCCCTTCAAAGCCTATATGGTTCATTCAGTTGAACCTGTTTTTAATAATTGATTTGAGAATACAATTTTATACAGCTGATAATTTTGAAATATCTCTACATCTTGATAGTGAAAATTTCACAGAAATATGTTGGAAGATGTTCAGGTTTTCATCTGAAATTATGAACTTTAAGCAAAACGGTCACAATATTTAGAATAAAAAAGAATAATCTATTTTGCATATGGATTGGCAGCCATTTTAAATACTAATTAGTCATATTTGCAGAAATGAAAAATTTGTGCAAGACACTGTTCAAAACTGTGTTAAAGAGCACATAAAGAAAACAGATGAACATTTAAGCTTATAATGAATCTTTATTCAAAAAAATTCGGCCACTGCATATATATGAGATTCAACTTCAATCATCACTTTTTATACTAGAGGAGGCACGGTGGAGTAATGGATAGTGGCTTGAATTGAGAAATCGGAGAGCCGAGTTTGAATTCCATTCGAATCCATTACATTCACTTATGTGCTAATACCCTTGGAAAAGATGTGAATTCTCTTCTTCTCCCCCCAGCTATGGGTAAATAGCAGGACAGACTGGGTTCTATAGCCTTGGATGGCAACTGGTCTAGGAGAAGGAAAACTCTGAATTCAAAACCTGTGGAGGGTCGTTTGGGGACCTTGTAGCACGCAGTGCACCAGGTCTCTGTAATTGGCCCTTCAAAAAGTGTGGATGGTCCTGCACAAAACCTTCACCACTATAATCAAATCTCATGTGCTATACATGCGGGTTGGGGACCGCTTGTGAATTCCAAATTCCCATGAATCTCTAATATTGGAGCTGGCTCAACCCACCTCGGGTGAATGTTGTTACAAGAACAAGAACAAGGTACTAGAGTAAAAGGGCACAACAATGGTTGCCTTCACCACAAGTGTAAATATCATTTTTATCTTGGGTTAGTGAGTTATGAGGATGTCAATATCAAGCAGGTACAGAAGTTTAACTATCTGGGAAGTGTTTTAACAGAGGATGGAAAATGTGGCATTGAAATCCAAAGGAACATTAAAATAGCAAAAGATGCATTTCAAAAACTAAGCAAAGTATTAAGCAACAGGAAAATTTTGTTAGCAACAAAGAAAAGAGTGCTACATTGCTATGTGATATCCATCCACTTATATGACAGTGAATTCTGGACAATCTCACCACAGAAGAGGAGAAAACTGGAGGCAACAGAAATGTGATTCTACAGAAGGATACTGAGAATTCCATGGATGGAGTGAGAAAGGATTGAGGAAATCTTAAAGAAAATAGCAACAAATTTTTGCTTAGAATCAGGAAGAGATAGCTGAAATTACCTGGACACATAATGAGAAAAGGCAGCTTGGAAAAGTTAATCCTCACATATTGAGAGCAAGAGAGATAGGTGAAGGCATTTGGCCACCTACCGGATGAGCTTGTGTGAATTGGGGAGACAGAGGCTTTGCAAAGGGAGAAACACTGCTAAGGGCCATTTAACAGCGCCCATCTCCTCTCCAAGTAACATTTGGCAGGTTAAATTGTGTTACATGGTACTAGTATTTAATCTATTTTGGTAGATTGATTCATGCCTTCCCCATGTGCAAAAAAAAAAAAGAGAAAAAAGCACTAACTCATCTGGAATTTGAACCCACTTCATGGAATTTATTTCCTGTGCTTTTAACAGTTAGACCCAACTCTGCACATGCTGCAAATGCTGTTCAGCTGTCAAAGTGACAAGAATATCACTTTGGTATATCAAGGGTTTTATTTGTTTAATGAGGAGTTGAAGTGTTTAGGTAAGGGCAAAGCTGGGGGGGGGACAGGAAAAGAAAGGGAAAGAGAGAAGTGACAAAGAAAAAGAAAGAGAGTGAGAGAGAGGGGATGTGAAGAAAGAACAGAGGTATGAAATGTTAGAGGGATGGGATAGCAGTGGAGAAGTAGAAAGAGAAAGAGAGAGAGAGAGAGAGACATTGTGGAGAAAAGGAAGTGGGTATGAAATGTTAGAGGGAGGGAGTATTAGTGGTGGATTAGAGAGAAAGAGAAAGAAATAAGAAAGAAAAGGGTGAGAGTGACATGTCCCCTTGAATCTGTTCTTTTTTTTTTAATTTGATAATTAAGAAAGAGATGAAAGAAAAATGGGAAGATAAAAATTAAATAAAAAAGGGATATAGAAAAAGATTAAACCTTTGAACCATGACACCCTGATAAGTACAATATATGCACTTTCACACAGTGCTGAGTATAACAGGCTGCTTGAATTCAAAGGGTTAAAAAATAAAGACAAAGAGGAAAAGTTACCTGACCCTGCCAAAATCTGAAAAATCCAGTCAGCTAGAAAAGGAAGAGGTTAAAAGAACATTTGATTTCTATATGAGCACATTGATAGCTATAAATGTGTCTTAACTAAATATAAAACATTTTCTTTTTTCACTAGTTTGCTGATGGTCAATTTGTAGGTTTTATGAATTATTGTTGAAGTGTTCCAACTGAGGACACAAAGTGCAATACTAAGATTCAAAGACGTATTGGGATGGCCAAAGATGCATTCCAAAAGCTAAGCAGGGTATTAAGAGAAAGGAAAACTTTGTTAGAAACAAAGAAAAGAGTATTGAACTGTTACATGATATATGTCCTCCTGTATAGCAGCAAATACTAGACAAAGTTGAAGAAGAGACTTGAAGCAACAGAAAAATGTTTCTACAGAAAGTTGCTGAGGATACCATGGACTGAACATTTGAACAACAATGAGGTTTTGAAGGAAATGGCAACAAAAAGGAAACTTATACTTAACATCAGAAAGAGACAGTTGAAATTTCTGGGGTACATAATAAAGAAGGAGGGCTTGGAAAATCTGATACTCAAAGGATAGATTGAGAGAAAGAGGGACAGGGGAAAGTAGCATGTAACATGATGAGCTTGAGTAAATGGATGGTAGAAAAGGGTTTGGGAGAAATAACAAAAAGATAAAACACAAGGGACAGGAAGACGTGGTGGACCATGATCACCTATGTCCTGAAGGGACATGGTATACAAAAGATGAAGAAGAGTTGTGTTATTTAATGTTGAATTTTTTTCCACCACTGCTAACACATCCCTCTGACATTTCAAATCTCTTTCTTTTCTGCACAATCTTTCTTTCTTTCTTTCTTTCTTTCTTTCTTTCTTTCTTTCTTTCTTTCTTTCTCTATTTCACCCCTGCTACCCCATCCCCCTAACATTTCATACCATTTTTTTTTCTCCACAAGCTCTCTTTCTCTATCTTTCATTTTCTTTGTCTCTTCAGAAAATTTTTCCCCTTCCTTTCCAGGTCCCACCTATCTCTATCTAAACACTGTAACTCTCTTCATTGAATTTTTGTATGGAGCAGCTAATGAGGGTCACACTCACTGCTTAATATTAATAGTCAAGCAGTCTAATCTTGCTAAAAATTACTTAACAATGAGGTGCCTAAACCATTGTTGGAATATGTAATGTTTAAGTTTTGTATGGGGCACCCAGTGAGGATCAAATTCACTCCTCACTAGTAATGGTCAACCATCACTGGGTTTGGATAATTGATTTTACAACATGCCAAATTCAAATTTGGCATAGGGGACCTAGTGAGTGCTGAAATCACTAATCAATCATAATGGTCAACCAGACTACTGTTGCTAACCATTACCCTACACACTAGGACCCTCAACTTTTGCATCATTATTTAATGTCCAATTTAGTATGGGGCACATAGTGAGAATCAAACTCGCTACACAATAGCAATGGTCAACCAGTCTAGTTTCACTAAATTACCTCACAGGGAAGTACTTCAATCCTTGTTGGGTTACTGTCCTGGGTAAGACGTTAAACTACATCCATGTCCTGGGTAAGACAATAAACTACCCCCAGCAGACAGTCCTCTGATCAGGAAGTTTTGAGGAACATGGAATCATCTCTTAATTGCTGGTGTTCACAGGTACACCCTCACCTGGGATGGTAGCACCTGTTAGGGTCCCAGCTATGGGCAAAAAGTCAACTATCACCAGCAATAATTTTTTGAAAAAAAATTATTACCAGCAATACAATTTTGAAGTAAAAATATTACCAAAAACAGATTTTTGACAAAACAAAATATTACCAGCAATAAAAAATGTTGTCGGCATTAAATAACCCACGGAGGTTGATATGCCGTAAAACAAAATAAACCAAACCAAACCAAACCAAACCTTGTTGGGTTACTTAATGTCAAATTTTGTATGGGGCACCTAGTGAGGATCAAACTCACTACTCAATAGTAATGGTCAATCAGACTAGCTTCACTACCTTACAGTGGGGTACTTCAATCCTAGTTGGGTTATTTAATGTCAAATTTTGTATAGAGAACCTAGTGAGAATTGAAATGACAGACACCTCATTAGCCATTACCCCATGTTGATAAAGAAGAGTATTCAGCAAAGAAAACTAATAAAATCTAAAATAAATGATAAAGTATGCAAAGAAAATGGAAATGGGGAAAATATTTTGATAAATACTCAACTCAGCTTAGTCTGCCACAAGGCCTTAAGTGTGAGTTATCCATTGAAGAGCAATGGTTTGGTGATGATCAAACACACTCTGCTTTTGCAGATATATATTTTTTACCAGCTTGCCAACAACTAAAATCTGTTGCAGGTCTTAGGAGAGAAAGATAGGGAAAACAAATGAAGAGGGGAGATGGAAGAAAGTAGTGAGAGAAAAGAATAAGACAGAGTTAAAGAAAGAGCAGTGGCAAAGAGAAAGAAAATGTATTTAATGTGAGGAATATCAAAGAAAAAAACAAGTGAGGTTGTCAGAAGAGAACATGATAACTGATAAAACCTACAGGTAGGCAAGAAATATAAGGGTGGGTTTGAAACAAAAAAAAAAAGAAGCAATCATGAAAAGTTATATCTCCTTGTATATTTGTTTATTTAATGATTTTTAAAAGTATATAAAGGGTGTTTCATTAAGACGGATCAAAGTCAGCAGTAAATAAATCAGTGTTATTTGTTAGAATTTATTTATTTCTCTATTGGATCATATTATTTAAGTCATGGCAATTATGTGTGAAAAATAATATCGCCCAAAAGTCTCCCAAATCTGAAAGAAAAAGAAAAAAATCATTAGATGCTTAAAATTAATTGGCATTTAAAATCAGTCCAAGTTATTGAAATAACCTTTATATATATATATATATATATATATATATATATATATATATATATATATAAGTAATGAAAGTCTTGGTAATCCATATGGATAATCCCAAGAAGGATGAAATCCAGAGAGCTCAATGTTAAATCAGAGCGAATAATTTAATTTAAAGAAACACAGACTGATCTGTTTTTCTTTAAATAATATATATATATATATATATATATATTTTATTTATATATTCTCAGATGGAGTGTATCTTTAAAAGATTCAAAACGAATAAAAAAAGACAAGAAGTGCATTTAGGGACTTTATCATTGCCTTGATAAATCCCTTATTGGATGAAACATGCCAGCTAAGTATAGTTTTTCTTCTTGTCACTTTTTTCATATATATATATATATATATATATATATATATATATATATATATAAAAAAAGGCCTGATGATTACAACTGGCATGAAACAGCCTGTCGCCTCTAAGTGTTGACTTCAATGTTCACTTTTAGATTTACACACGGTCTATCTTTGATACTGAGAACTTTATCCCATAAATATAGCACACCTTAATAGTATATTTCTTCATATATATATATATATATATATATATATATATATATATATACAGTGTAACCCGTATATAAAAGACCGGATATAAGAGAAATCCGGATATAAGAGAGATTTTCTCTGGTCCCAAAGTGTTCCCATACTTACCTAAACAAAATAGACCAAACCCGGATAGAAGAAAACCCGATATAAGAGACCTCTTCTCCGGTCCCGACAACTCTCTTATATCCGGTTTACACTGTATATATATATATATATATATATATATATATATATATATATATATATATATATATGGGTTGACTGTAACAAATAGAGTTATAATTATATTTCGGTTCTGCAAGTATATATAATTATAACAGTATTTCCTTCCTACAGCTAGCCCTTTTGATATATATATATATATATATATATATATATATATATATATATATATATATATATATATATATATGTGTGTGTGTGTGTGTGTGCATGTGTATGTGTATGTGTACTTGCCTAGTAAAAGATTTTTTTTAAAAGTGCAATAATAATATATTGATGTTTTACCCCCAAGGTAGCCCTACTGAAAACTCTAAAACAAAATAAATTGAAACAGTGGAACCTGACACTTCAGTAGGTAAAACCTAAGAAACTATAACTCTTGTACCACACCACCTTTCTGAGTTGCCCACCTGCCCCATCCCCTACCACTGATTTGATTCCATTACCTTCAATTCCATCTAAGTCAACACCTCTACCGTCCTACCTCAGTTGACTTTTTCAGCTTCTGATATGCCAAGAATCCAGATTCTTGTGTTCTTTGGTTTCTTTGCAAGCACAGAAAGCAATTCGCTTCTGTCTCCATCTTGCTGGGGCGAATAGAGTTGAACAAATAGATTCAGTGCTATCAAATTTATAGTGGGGTGTGGAAGTATCAAATTATGTAAATTATTTGCAGATATTATCTTGGAGCCTAGAAGTCAAAATTACTTATGCAGGTGAGCAGATATTCAAAAAAGTATTTCTTTAAACCTTATCTGAAACTATGAAAGAGCCAAAAATTCAAATGTTTGCGAAATGGCAGAAATCTACAGTGCCAGAACAATGTTTCCTCATTCTTGTAAATTATTATCTTTTGAGGACAACTTTGGTACAGCGTCAATTTTGAATAGGTCTGTGAAAAAAAAATAACCCACCTTCAATGCTTTGGGAAACAATCAGACATATATATATATATATATATATATATATATATATATATATATATATATATATAT